TCGAAACGATAAGTCGTACAAAATGTCTGTTAATAATTTGATGGACATAGGACAAATTTTTGTACACACACACACATATATATATATACGTATAAGACAAAATTGAAACACGTATTGAAATTTAATTTGAATTAATACTCTATTAATTCGTATTATGCGATAGATGTTTACACGTGTGCGTATGTACGTATATATCAATTCATATAGCAATATCGAATGATAATATCGAATCAATTTCACAGTATTTGTTTATCTTCAAAGTATAATTTCGCGTAGTTAATAAATTAATACCAATCTAAAGAGTGTTTCCGTTATTTTATTTTTAAACAAGGAACGTTCCTTCGTTTCTTTCTTCTTTCCCCCCCTCCAAACTAAAATTTTTCTATCCATCTCTTTTCTTTGAAAATTCCATTTTCATTATACCTTTCGCTACAAGATTCCGTGTAACGATAATCGAAAATATTTTTGCAAATTTGTGGCACGCAATAAGTAGAATCTGGAAGAGTTTGGGAGCGTATCGATCCAAGTTGAAAAAAATTCTTCCGGTCGACGGTCAATGTTTTTATCTTTCCGTCACGAGCGCGTACGCACGCGAAACGTATAAAAGCGTAGGTTTGATCGGGCATCGGGTTTTACGAGGGCCGGCAACATGTACGCTGGAATAAAAGTGCTTTCGAGGAACGAGTAATGCGAGCATAGGTCAAAATCGAAACACCGTTCGTAGGGATCGATCGCACGAATAACAGTGTAAAAGTGGTGAAACTGGTGATATGGATTCAAACGCGTTAAAGTTTTTACACACTTTTCGCTCGCTTATTTCTTCTTAACTCGTTAATATAGAATGAAATATTGTAATGAAAGAATATGGCGCGATGATTTTATGGATTTTTATGGCGAGAAGACTGAGAGGCGAGACAAAAGAGTATATGCAGGGGAATACGAATGACTACTACGTAGGACTAACCTTGAGCGTGGACGAGAGCGTGGAAGAAAGCGACGACAACGGGGAAAAGAAGGTGACACCGCATCTCTTCCTTCTTCCAACTTTCCTTTCCTGCTCGGCCACACCGTTTTCCCTTCTTTTCGTATTCAACTTTGTTTCACTTTTTCACCCGGGCGGAGGAGGGTTTCTCGCACCAACGAAAAGGACGAAGCAGGCACGTTTTAATCGTGGCCCCGGCGCGGTATCGCGTGCCGGTTAATCGACGGGATTCGTTTCGACCGAGCCGTAACTCGATCATTTAACGTCACGAAAGATCCTGTATTCACTCATATCACCCGCCCGTTCACGTTTCGCCAGATTTCCGCTTCCACTCTCTCTCTCTCTCTCCCTCTCTCTCTTATCGATTCTTCTTTTATTCTCACTTTTCTTCCCTCACATCGATATTACCATCACTCACTCTTTTTCTTCTTTCTTCTTCTTCTTCTTCTTCTTCTTCTTCAATTCTTCTTCTAGTCTGCAATACCAAACGATATTTACCATTAATGCAACCTCGCACGTTACTCTATCCCCGAAAACGAATATTTCGGATAGGAATATATAAATAATAATAATTGTGCACGTGGGACAAAGAAGAGGAAACGAGTCTTAATACATCGATATCTAATTGTCGGACCGATCGCTCGACAAACATCGCTCTCTTTCGCTCCCACACACCTCCCCTCCCGTTTCCTTATCCACTTTCTTTCTACGGATACGCGATACGAATATACGCCGTTGGCATATTGAAAAGGCAACATCGACTTTTTCCATGGATTTTATCGCCGATGATTGATGAACACGCGCGTATCTCTCTCTCTCTCTCTCTCTCGTGGTGCAACCTTATAGCGCAACTCTGACGCCGGTGTTGCGCTTACAAATCAAATACCACTAGCAAGGCTTCCGCGTTCCCTCCACTCCTTTTCCACTCCAACTTTCCTTTCAACCTGCGCCATTGTCGCTAGCCACCCTAAATCCTCCTCCTCCTCCTCCTCCTGGTCGTACCGCTCCCATCCTGGACCCGGTAGGAACGCATAATCGAATAAAACTGCTAAGTGATTAATCGCATGAACCTCCTCCCCGTCCAACTTCCCCTTTAAAACGACGTTTACCGCATCATTTCGCTTTTTCCACCGCTTCCGTTCCAATCTTCGTTCCGAAATACGCTTATTATCCGTCGTCTCGTGCCAACCACGCATCAATGCGATTAGCAGCGGCTAAGCAACCGTCAATTTTTACCCGTTTTCGTTATACGCGTGGATATAAACAAGGTGGATGGGGAAACAAGTATATCTGGAGATCGATACGCGAGCTTGATTAACGATTTTCGCCCGCCAATCTCTTTTTCTCTCCTCTTTCGAGAATAATTTCAAACTACGACTCGAATTACTCCATCCAATTTACCCCCATCCTCCCCTTTGGACCGAGTTTTACAACAGTTTTAAAAACTTGCCACGAATAGAATAGAAGAGGTTTTGATTCGTCGGAAAGCAGGAATCGATGAATACACCGGATCTCGGCAAAGTTTCCGATCTTTGGGAAACGAGAGAGCTAAACTAGTCTCGCTCTGGGAACACGAGTTCCTTTCCCGATCATTTGTCGCCGAATTCTTCTTCTCTTCATCCATCCATACATTTGACACGCGTGCAATATATACTCCTCTTTTTCCTTCCCACCGTCGTCGATTCGATGGACTCGGAGGGCTCGTCCACGCGCGCGAAAAAAAGGTTTATTAAACGCGGTCGTCGCTCGCATTATCCCTCCCCGCTGGCTGGGAGTTACTGGACGGCGATGGAACGGTGCAAGTTACCACGTCGAATCGAATTTGCTAATACGCCCACCAGCCCCGAAGGGACTTTACTCGTCGCCTGACGTAGGAAACGTTGCGAGTCCTGCTGGCTTGTTTAACATCCGACAATTTTCATTCTCCCGAATTAACCGAATTCTTCCGTGTATTTATTCGATCGATCTATGCGTAATCTATGAATAATCTTGTTCGCGTACGATGCTTTTCGCGTAAAATTGACAAAAGTAGGATCGATTAGAGTAATCGATTAGGGTGGGAAATTTAATTAACGACAATTTTTAACCGAAAATTAATCCGATATTTCGTTCGAGGGTGGATAATTTAAATATTTGCGCGGGGGAAGCAATTTGTTTAATGGAAAGTAGACGCTTTTTTTAATTCGCGATAACACCTTTCGTGATACTCGCTGATGCTCGTATCAATCCTGTTAATAATTAAAAGCGATGGAAAAAATATCCGATCTTGCTTACATCGACGATTCATCTTTAAATTTGAATGTCTCTGTTTAAAAAAAGAGCACTCGAGTTACGTATCCTCCATTGCTATTAAATTGCGGATCGAGATTGAGAAAAAGGGAAAAATTTTCATACCTTTTCTTTTCTTTCTTTTTCATTCGAATAAAATCGGGGAAACTTTATACGCGACAGAAATATCGTTACGTCGTTTATTTTCCGACTCGAATAACCGTTAATATCGTTTATTTATTAACGCGCGAGACTCAACGCCATCTAGAATTCCGTAACGTTTCGTTCTTTCGATCGTCGAATACGAATTTAAACACCTTCGCCATTTTGTTCGTTAAATTCGTAAATTCGTGGATAAGGCGAAGGGTGGAATACGGGATAGGTGCTCGTCGACCATTGTTTACGAAGATGCGTAACGAAAACGAGTGACGATCCATATACCAGATTCTCGAATATATATTTCGAAAACACTCGTCAATGTCATCGACTCGTGTGGCGAAAAAACACGAGGATTTTTTTTTTTTTCCCCTCTTTCTCTCTCTCTTTTTTTTTTTTTTTTCGTTCGCGTGCTCCGCCACAGCGAATCAATACGAATTAATTCGTCGATAAAAGTATCGTATCGGTGGAAATTCCGTGTGCCACCAGATCCCCAATTACCGAACGGTCGACCGAGAAAAACTCGTTGAACTCGTTAAGCCGCAGCGGCGGTCCTGTTACCCGATCCCAACGCAACGATTCGACGTCGAATAAGATTCGTACGAGGACGAAATCACGGTAAGGGTATGTAGCATCCCCTCCGTGTCGTCACGTATACCTCTACGACTTCTTCGATTTCGATAAATGGAACGAACGAGTGGAAGATAAAAATTCGCCACCGTGCGAAACGAAAGATCGTAACGCGCCACTTTCCCTCGTCGTATCGCGACTCGAAATATCACGACGTTCGATATCTCGGAACTATTTTACTCTTTTCTTCTTAATTCCTCCTCCAAAAATGTAAAAGAAAAAAAGACGCGAGGAGAAATAAAAACGGGAAGGGCGAAAATCGGGAATAACGCTACTTACGTTACGATATTGATAAACGACCGTCGAGCTTTCGATCGATATCGGGCGTAGGAAAGACGTAAGAAATTGGGACGAGATCGATTCGAACGTTCCACGAGATCGGACGGAAGATCGAAGATTCCCGTCATTCCTTTCCCTTTTTTTACCTGTTAGACGAATATGCGAAGAAAAACGAGGGGGAAGATTAACGAGGGGTCGAATTGTTTTCACGAGCGTTGGATAGAGCAATGTGTCGGTTTGCGTCGGTCGGACGTAAATAAAGAAGATAGAAGGGATAGAAGGAAGGGAGAGAAGGGAGGATAAGAATCGGAGGATAAGAAAGATCGCTCTTCTCACCGATATATATATATATATATATATATGTA